AAACTTGTTGTTCTTTCAGTATTTGTTGCATAGATCATATCAAATTCTCTTCACTATGTATTGTATCGGAGTATGTTAGTGTCATTGAATGTTTGATAAAAATAAAATATCTCTGACATCAAATAAACTGCTAGCAGCAAGCAGGGAGTTTTTTTTAAATCACTTTAACTCTTTCATACAAATATGATAAAATGTTAGGCACAGTTTGGGTTTTTTTTTTGCTTCTTTTGAACAAGTGAATGATACACGTTTAGGCAGTTTTGTTGCAAGGTAGTTGTGATTCTAGAAACCCCCGCCCCAGTTCTTGTACTATTATGTATAACTGGTTGTTCATAAAAAGAAAGATTCTTCTAACAAACAAATGGCTTATTTTTAATTTTGGATCTCTAGACATCTTGTAAGATATGTGTTTATAAATTTTTCAGCCAGTGGATGTTTCTTTATTTTAGATGATGTTTCACTGTGGTATATATAAAATGTATCTTTCATATTTTTTACAATATCAAAACTGTTTTTGTTTTAGGATAATTAACATCAAAGAGGTGAAAGTTGTTTTCCCTTACCAGTACAACTTTGCTGAAGTCTTCAATGAACAGGTACAAGTATTTGCTATTCTCTTATGACATTTTTTCTAATATCTATGTTTTATTTACTAGTTGTCCCCTGGTGGAAAAGGGGAAAGTTTCTGGGCTGAAATGCTCAAGTCCATGAAGACAGACCATTGTAGATCTTTGTACTAAGAAAATAACTTGTCTTACTATTTTCTTCTTAAAAAAAGAACATTAAAATAGTTATGTCATATAAGATCAATATTTACAGTTTAAAATGTCTTACTCTGTCATATAACAAAGTTTAAAATACTTATTAAAAAGTAAAAGTGTAAAGTCAATGATCTTTTCCTGGTGCATTTTTAGCTGAAATAAGTTATTAGGGAGGTGAATATTAAAGATACTGAAGAAGTGTTTTGTTTTACAGGCTATTGGAATAGTGAAATGGCTTAAACTAATACACAAGAAGCAGAAAAAACCCTTTACTTTGGATAGTCCTCTTCCAGCAGACTTAGTCATTAAGATTAAGGTTAGTTAGCTGTTTCAGTTTTTATATGAGTGTAGTAGGTTTAGAAAATAATGAAATGGGTCTTAATATCCAAAACTTTTCATTTAAAATATATTCAGATGCTTAGCATGTTTTTATAGAGAAGTGTGTTTACATTTGGTTTGGTTATGGTAATTTTAAAACTTACTTAGTATTAATTAAACTTGTACATGTTAACGCACCATGCTCCATTCCTGTAGTTGCAACATTTCATGTTAGTTATTAAACAATATATACGTTGACACACTATGCTCCATTCCTGTAGCTGCATCATTTCATGTTAGTTACTAAACAATATACATGTTGACACACCATGCTCCATTCCTGTAGTTGCAACATTTCATGTTAGTTACTAAACACTATACATGTTGAGGCAACATGCTCCAAGACTTCACACAACAGAGGAATTTCCATTAAAATGTTGAATTGATTCTTATAAACTTTTCGTTATCACTTATTGCTCAGTTTGGAATAAATCATTTCATTTAAGTTTTAACTCGGTTGTTTTTGTAATTTTTATTTAAAACATTTCTCGGTGAAATTAGAAGTAATAAATTCTGATATTAAAAACACAGGTGACTTTAGCAAATATTGAACATAACACTGCTAGAAGTTTGATTTTCTGTTTTCTAGCTGTCAAGCTGTTTTTGTTATTTTTTATAGTTTTTCTCTGTGGAGATTTCTGATGACATATTTGAAGTGAAGCTCAAAGATAACTATGCGGTAAGTACATTTTGAGTATTATATAAATGTTTTGTCTTTTTTTTTAATGTAATTTATAAAGAAAAAACTAAAAATTCATAGTAAAGCTAACAACAATAGAAAATTAGTCAAATACTATTTATTACATTAATTCATCATTTAATTTAATTGAATAAATCTCACTTATTGTGTTTTGCAAGAGATGTCGAAACCCTGAATAGTCTGATATTCTGTAATTTATCAAGTAAGAATGGGTCACCCAGTAAGTTCACAGACTTACACTTCTAAAAATCCAGGGTTTCATTCCTCTTGCTGAAAAGAGTGAGATATCCCATTGTGTAGGTTTTAGCTAAAACCAAAAAACCTGAATAACAAGAATGGAAATGTTCATTTTTACTTCATAAAAGCTTATGATCACTGTTTATTTATTATTGCAAAAAATTGACACTGGAATATAAATATGAGACAATGACTTCGTGGAAGAAGCAAGAAATAAAAATAATTTAATATTTAGAATGCCTACTCATACATTTAAATAGGTCTGTTATTAAAGTTAGGGTTGACATTCAAGTTGTTGTTACGATAAGTTAGACCATAAATGATCAAAGCAAAGATGTATTTCGACTGGATATTAAAGCAACAAGTAAATTCTACCGGTGCATACAGCGTGTCTTTATTAATAAGCGTTAAGTAAACAATTTTGATTATGTGCAAAAACAGAAGTAATCTTCGTGTTATTAACAAAAATGTTATCCTAAAATAATGCACTCTAGTACTATGATGCACTTTATAAATTATGTCAAATCAGTTGGTGAAATATCAGCTTATATATCAGTAACACATTTAACAGTTAAACACAGTAATAACATTGTACCAATGAAAAAAACATGTGCAAAAATATAACTATCGTAAAATTCTAGTGTTACGTCATTGTAATCAGCTTACAGTTGTGGTACGCTCGTGTTAAATAAATTTCAAACATTGGTCATATAATTGGCAAAATGCACATACAGAATAACATACGTGCAGTTGAACGTAACTATTTGGTAACCTGGATAGGCCTAAATATCTTGGAGTATTGTGGTAAAATAAATGAAAATTATGAACTTTACTTAAAAGACATAAAAACTTCATAGATTACCACTGAATCATAGTCTATACAAGCCTGCCACTTTGTTCAGTAACAAACATTAGATGCACTTAAATTTGAGAGTACAATTAAATGATACAATAGCTATACACTGTTGACTATTTTAACTGCTCACAATGTTAAGAGTTTTCAAAACGAAAGTGGGCCTAATAGGATAAAGTCAACAATTATGATGACTTTGTAATATTCGTATTGATCACAGAACACTAATAAAAATGATGTCTTCGCAGTACTAGTTTAATTACAAATCACTCAAACTGAACATCAAAAGGAGTACCACAAACCAAATGTTGACTTCAGGTCAATACCCGTATCAGTAGTTAGTATAAGTAAGGGTGTTTCACAAACAAGTAATTTGGAAGAAGTGAGTAAAGTTATACATTTCTTCAATTAATGTTAACAGTCTACTACCAACTTCACTGGGCTTATATCGGAAAGTGATTAGAAGTCTTGACTTCAACTATTTTACATTAAAGGCATAACACTTACGTATTTACATTGTGAATTTAGTGTAAAAAAAAATGTTACTTAATAACTAATTGAATAAAAAATGTGTTAAAACAGTAACAATAGGTTGCTTGTGACAATTTGTCTCCCTATGTTCAATAGATAGAAATTAGGGATGGCACCATACTACCTCGAGTGCTCACTGACAAACATATTTGAAACACTCCTAAAGCGTGGAAAGATAACCACGGTTAACATTAAGTAAACATAAAATTAACATACGACGTGCAGTGTACCGCAGAAAATTCCATGGTACAACTGCCAGTTAACTTTTCATGTTATTAATACTTGAGATTACATTTATAGAGTTTATTCATGTGTAACACTTAATGTTTTAACCATATTATGATGGCTTAGACAACTTTTTATAAACTAATGATACATTGTCTATTTTTAAATGACTGTATGTATGCTATGTATTAAGATGTGTCCCGAGTTTGATATGATTTGATTGATCACTTCAATTATTTATTTTTTTTTACATTTAGCTTCTTGAAGATGAATACAATGAAAGTTTGAAGAGAAAGAAGATGTTAGATGAGAAGCTTGAAAATTTGAGAAAAACTAATCTTCTACTTCCACGTAAGCTTGAAAATTTGAGAAAAACTAATCTTCTACTTCCACGTAAGCTTGAAAATTTGAGAAAAACTAATCTTCTACTTCCACGTAAGCTTGAAAATTTGAGAAAAACTAATCTTCTACTTCCACGTAAGACTTGCGTTGTAAAAAAAAAAGACAAAACTCAGTAAGGATTGCACCACAACTCCAATTATAATTTTTGTGTGTTTTTAACTTTTAATAAAAAAAATATAAAAATGCGTGGTGTCACAAAAGGAATTTTTATTGGAAAAGTTTTGAGCCTTCTATATCTTTGACTGATGGTGGTCAAATAACTGAATATTGTGCTAATCAAAAAAGTTATCAGTTATATCAGCCTTCATCAGATGAGGCTCAATTCTTTGTTATTATGAGAACAATCATTAATAAAAAAACTAATGACACGCCATTCAACTGAATAAAACAGATATCGGCTGTGATACTGTTTACTTAAACCACTTTTGGATATGAACATCTGTTAAACAATCATTGGTCAATGCATCCCAGTGGCTCAGTGGTAAAACTGGGTTTCAGTACCTGTAGTGGGCACAGAACAGATAGCCTATTGTGTAGGTTTGTGCTTAACTACCAACAAACAATCATTGGTCAGCTGTAGTTATTCATGTTTGTAATGATTTATCAGCTGTAATTTTTCTTATTGGCCAGTGAACTCTGAACTGAGATTGATAGTGTATCGAGAAATAATAATCTGTTATCGAAACAGAAAACAAAATTAGTATCAATTTGATATATAAGTAGATATAGTATATTAATGTTTCTTGTTACTGTCCAGTTCATGTGTTTCTGAATATCAGTACCTGAATTTAACCCTTGAGAATGAAAAAAATTCATTTGAAATGCAGTATATATTAATTTGGTTTTTTAATTAGCATTTTTATGTGAAACTAATCATAAACTTTGTACAGTGGAAAAAATTGAGGAACTGTATAATTCGTTGGCCAAAAAAAATGCTGACATCTACGTTCAAAGATCTCGACTGCTGTATCACAATGCTGATTTAAGAACTCCTTTGATTACCTGGACGTTTGAAGGTGTGGACTTTGTGGTAGTTGCTGACACTTCATATCATGGCACAGACAGAGTCATCCAAGTTTTAAAGGAGATTGATGAAGAAAGGCAAGTCCTGATGCTGATATTAAATTTTATTGAATCTATTTAATAAAGATATTCTTTATGTCATCTGATGGTTTAATCAAGTTGTCAATGAACTTATTAAAAGGTATATATCTGAAATGGTTTACCTTACTATTGCTTTGTCAGATTTAACTAAAAGATTAAAAAGAAAAAGATTAAAATAGTGACTGTGTGAAACATAAAGCTTTTACACAAATTTTTTTGATTGAAAGAAAAATTAAGTATAGCTGTTGTTTAATTCTCCTGCTTTACCAACTTTTGCTAGGTTTATAAGAATTCTGAAATACAGGGCGATCCAACGAAAGATACCCCACTGACATCATACGGAAAGAATATAATACACTAAAGTTTTTGAATAACCATATTTCATAGTTGCTGGAAGTCATATGGAAGCTTAATATCAACAATGTTACAAACTGTGTGTTCTAACTGACATTGTTACAAGCCAAACCAAATGTTCTAACTGACATTGTTACAAACCAAGTGTTCTAACTGACATTGTTACAAACCAATGTTCTAACTGACATTGTTACAAGCCAAGTCAGTTAGAACACTTGGCTTGTAACAATGTCAGTTAGAACACTTGGCTTGTAACAATGTCAGTTAGAACACTTGGTTTGTAACAATGTCAGTTAGAACACTTAGTTTGTAACAATGTCAGTTAGAACATTTGGTTTGTAACAATGTCAGTTAAAACTCTTAGTTTGTAATAATGTCAGTTAGAATCCATTGTTACAAACCAAG